CAACAAAACATGGGCATAGTAACAATTTATCCATTTTAAGTATACTAACCTCACTCCTTTGTAACAACTAAGGCAAAAATGTAATTCTGAAAATCTTTTCAGGACCCCACCTTGATGTTTCGGGACCCCACTTTGGGTCTCAACCCCAACTTTGGGAAACACTGCCTTCGAGGACGTGAATGGGGCGCAAGTCAATCTTGTTTAAGGAAAATCTATATAATGCTTATTAGATCTGTTWTAGATTATGGATGTGTTGTATACAGGTCAGCAGCAATAAGTCATCTAAAATAGTTAGACCAGGGGTGCCCAAACATTTTCCCCGAGGGGGCCAAAATGAAAATCTATCCACAGCTGAGGGCCAAATGCAGTTATATAATACATGAAATACAAATACTTTTTAAAGTAAAGTCCTTTCTTTTTAATGATTAAGCTATGCAATGGCCCTCTTTTGTTTTAGTCTGTGCACTTGGTTAAAGTCTGCCATACACTCAAGTAGCAAAGGCTCATGGGACATTTTATAAATTGATAAAATATGAGTTTTTGTGGCCTTATAAAGTGCGTGAATCTACCTGTGGGGTTAAATCTGATCTAAATATTTCTTATCATTTCATGTTTCATGTTTAATCCTAATAAATCAAAGATAGGTCAGCACCATGAATGAAAACTACCTTCACTACAGCCCTTTCATATAGTCATTTGACCAACGGAAATACTGTGTTTCTACCTATAGGATAACAGGTTACAACCTTGTAACTTTGGCAACTGTTGGTGGGCCAAATCAAATGGCTTGGCGGGCCAAATTTGGCCCGCGGGCCCCACTTTGGGCTCCTCTGAGTTAGACGGTATCCAGAATCAAGCATTGAGGATTTGCACAGGAGCAATGAGGAGTAACCCTGTTGCAGCCCTCCAGGTAGAAATGGGAGAAATGCCTTTGGAAATGAGATGTCAACTAACCCTATTATACTGGGCAAATTTACAGGGACAAAGTATAAATCATCCTGGACAAAAGATTCTACATCCTTGTCAGGAGAGGACAATAAAGAAGTTCTCTAGTTTTGGATGGGTGGTGAAAAGGACTGTAGAAGAGGTTGGTCTTCAAGAATTGACATCAAGTTTGACAGTTCCTATTGCTGCTATTGCTCCTTGGTGTTATAATGAAGCAAGTGTAGATTTAAATCTGTTAAAATGTCAATCTTACAGTAGTAATGTTGAGGATTATRTCAGAAAATATTATTCAGAGTACATGGCTGTATATACAGATGCATCTAGAACTAGTGATAATAAAGTTGGTATTGCATTTGTGATACCAGATTTGGACATTATAAAAAAATAATAGAACTAATGATAACTTAGCAGTTTGTACAGGTGAACTTTTAGCTATTCTTATTGCATTAACATGGACTGAGGAAAATGGTTTARAAAAAGTGTTAATAGTTTCAGATTCCTGCAGTGCAAGCATTCAGAACAAGAAGTCAGAGTCAAGACAGGATATTATTTATGAAATTCAACAAACATTATATAGATTATTCCAAATTAGAAGGGAAATTGTGTTTTTATGGGTTCCATCTCACATAGGGGTTGAAGGAAAAGAGTTAGCAGACCAATATGCAAAGAAAGGGGCATCGAAACAAGTCGTTGACTTTCCATGTAATTATAGTAAAAAGCAGAGTTAAAGAGTATCATTAAAGAAAAGATCAAMGTAAAGTGGCAAGTATTTTGGAACAGGCATAATAAAGGACGGTTTTATTATAGTTTGAAAAGAAAGGCAGGTGGGATAATAGTTTGGAGTTGTAAAAATAAAAAAGGAAGAAGACATTTTATTTCATATGAGACTTGGACACAAGATTAAATAGCACATTGCATATTATTGGAAAACATGAAAGTGGAAACTGTGATTACTGTGCACAGTCAGAGACAGTGGAGCATGTGATCATGTAATGTAATAAATATTATCAGAGGAAAATATTAAAGAACAAGATTTTACAACAAAAACTCCCGTTTTCAATCAGGGACATAATGAATGGAAGTTCTGTAGAATTTGTTTTCAAGGCTTTAGGTAATTTATTAAAAACCACAGGTTTATTTGTTAGGATTTAGAGTTTTTTGTTTTGTTTTGGGAGCCTTCTGGCCCACACTTCCTTCCAGAAGGTGGCGGTAATGCACCTAAACGGTGTTTGTCAACCGCCATTAAACAACAGAAGAAGAAGAAGAAGAAGAAGAAGAACAAGAACAAGAAGAATGCCTTGGAGGGCTGCTGGACGAAGTGGAGTGTCAAGAACCATGGTTCCAACAAGAGAAATGTCTCTTGAAACAAAAGAGAGG